TTGAGTAACGGCTATTTTGAAGAAAGAATATTTTCTTGAAACAATCTTAAAATATATTTATTACAAATTTTAGAAAAACTCATTATTGTGTACTTAAAACAAGAATTTATTTTCTTTTGAAAAATATTATCAAAATTGATCAAAGAAGCGACTTTATATAATAAACAAATCGAATTTGTTATAATTTACTTATCTTGATTAAAGTATTAAACTTACAGGATTCAGAATATATTTTAAATAAACTTGATGCTTGTGATGAACTTATGATAGATATATTTGCGAGTATAAACTTTTGAAATTGGTACTTGAAACAAGTAATTATATTACTTGTGTACTGTACATATATATTTTTCTGTATAAAATGTCAAAATTTTTTGCAGTATTGCTTATCACGCTTGAGATTTCTATGTAATTATTTTGATAATTTAATAAAATTATTTTCTGATCTGTATCTACACTGAGAAAAAAATGCTGTTGATTCAATTAAAATCTATATTACGGACTGTCACTAACATAAGTAATTAATTCATATATATTTTTATTGACATGACCTTGATTATTGAAATAATAATTTATGTCTTTTGTCAATAAAAATATACATAAATTAATCACTTATGCTAGTGACAGTCCGTAATATAGACTTTAATTGAATCAACAGCATTTTTTTCTCAGTGTACCTAAATTTTTAGATACCTGAGCGAAATCCTTTCCGCGCGTGCACGATTTTATTAGATTTTAATAAACAACTTGATTAAAAGCCTAGTGTTTCGCTGTCGGCTTTAATTTCTCAGACCGTTGCAGATCGTTGATAAATCGAGCCCTTCGGTGTTATGAAACAGCTCGGAGCGGCATCCGCGCTGTTACCTGTCCGGTTATCTATGAGCGAGCATAGCGCGCCCGCGGGTTCGGATAAACCAATCAATAATTGATTCGTGCATGGATGCACGACGTGTAATGGAGTTAAGCGAAATGCAATGGCGTTTTAATCGAACGCATGCCACTCTCGGTGTGGTGGGCGCGATCGGCCAATTAACCGCCCGATTTCCGCATCTCGGCACCGGAGATCAATCGCCTGTGGATCGTGACCCTCGCGGATCTGCGATCCAAACATATCGGACATTATTGCATAGATATCAAACGCTTGCGGATCTCGATCGACCCACTGGCAAATGGAACACACAAAAAGAACGGTTTTGCTAGGATATCTAAATATTTAACTAGATACAGATCTGAAAATAATTTTCTTTAACCATCAAATAATTACGTAATATGCTAACACTTTTTGCGACATTGTTCATTATGTTCGAGTATCCTATGCTCAGAAAAATTTCTAGTTAAAAATAGACAAAGAATTGATATAGCCATTCTAATCATTTCAATTAGAATTCTTAACTCAACTAGAATTGTAATAGATTTAGCCAGAAAATTATAATTTGTCCATTTTCAACCAGAATTCCAATACAACGAAACACTTTTTCTAGTTATTATTATGCTATAATTATTATTATGATAGTTTGGTAAAATTATTTTTAGATGTATATTTACACTGTTAGATATTAAAGGAGCAATGATAACCCAAATCCTTGAGTTAAATATAACATTTTATTATTCCATGTGTATCAAAATGTAAATCAATCTATTTCTGTGATTAGTTTCAAAATAAACAATGTCCACAATAAGGTATGCACTTAATAGATAATGAACTAAATTTAATACATTTCTCAAGTTAAACTGTTTAACTCCATTGTTTTAGTTAAGTTAAAAACAATATATTGAAAGTAGGGGCAGTGCCGATCAATAATAAAAAATAACTCAAATTGGATATAATTTGACATTATAAATTTAACGGTATAGTTAAATATTTATATATGTGTATACACAGATACTTTAACAAAACCGTTCTATGTATAGAAACGGTTACGCAGTTGCAAGAATTTAAATTAATTTAAAGTCATAAGATTAATAGTCTCTTTCGTTAAAAAAAAAAAAAACATGGACTGCTTTAGGTCACTTCGTAGCTCCGTAATTACGCCGCTAATACTAGCTGATTGCACGCGCACGGTTTAAATATCGCGTCGCCGCGTCGTCTCGTATTTGTTAATATTCCACTTCCGGCTTGCTATTGCGCGCGGCACCGGGTTCAAGTCAGCCGTGCGCGTTGTCTAAAAATAGAATATAGATATCTGCGTGGATGTGAAACCCGGGAGGAGTCCGCGCGTGTCCAATATTTCGCAAACAAATCTCGCGCCGAATGAAATCGCAATAGAAGGGAGTGGAAGGAAGAAAAGAGACATAAAAGCGGTACAAAAATTTGATCCTGGAAAATTTTCAGATTTTCTCTGACGATGTACCCAAAATGCGAAATAAAACTCCATTCTTCACCTCTGTGCCGTACTAATCCTCCGGTTAAATACGCATCGCACGCTATGTTCACTACGTACAGCTTTCACAGCGAGCGGCGAGGAAACCTTACGCGAGAACGGAGAGAGGAAAATCGGACGACAGCGAGGGAGAAAGAGAGAGAAAATAGGAGAGGCGAGAGTACGGCTGGAAGGGATAGCGCGGTGAAAAGATCCTGAAAAGGGGGATTCCACGGGGGAGGGAGGGGAAGGGTAAAGGGTAGCTGAGGGGTAGCGCAGGAAGGACAATATGGCCGCCAGCGAGCGAAGGAAGCGCCGCCTGGAAACATTTTTCTGTTCCCGCGCGAAGCAGTTTTCGACCGTTGTTTCATTTGCTGACTTTTCCCGATCGCGCTTAGGTTAGATCTGTTCAAATCACGGCGAAATTGTATCGTCGATTCGATGTACTAAATCTAAATTGTAAATTTCGATATAGAGAAATAATGCTTGGCGCTGCTTTCGAATGACATCCTTTTACGTAGGATTTGTTACTTTTATGTAAAAAATGTTCTAATAAAATTAATGTAATACCTCCGTCTGCTGGTAATAAAGTTTCATGCGACAAACGCCAAATTGATTTTTTTTTCATAACCAGAGATTTAAAAAAGAAAATACTGAAAGCTTGTATGATGATTAAATATAACGAAAGATTCGTTTCTATGGAAGTGATAGTTATAGGAATTTAAATCTACGTTTGCAGCAAAATATTTTATATTAACATTTAACTTTCTTGCTTACTTAAAAATACTTAATTTTATTCTGGTTAAAATGACTTGATAAAACTCCATTAATGCAGAAGGCTGCACTAAACTTAGAAAGAAAAACATTTGTGATAAATAAAGCACAAACTTTGATCTAAGAAATAACAATAATAATAACTTTATAAATGAACAGATGAATATAAATATAAACATCTGTCTATTATTCTGACACTTAACATGAAGAATAGAAGCACATCTGTGTCAGTATACTCTCTAAATTCTTTACAGTAGAATCTCACTCTGAAGAGTGAAAAGGGAGTCAGTTTTTCAATCTTTAACAGTGAGATTTACTCTAAAAATTTTAGAGTATCCTTTAAAAAAAAATTACAAAGTAGCCATTCAAGATGCAAATATTTGGTATCATTCTGAGAGTGAAATTTGAACCAGTCTTGAAAAAGAATAATTCAATTTTCAATCTATAAAAGTGAGATTAGTGAGATTCATTCTTAAAAGTTCTAGAGAGTACACTTAAAAAAAAAAATTATAAAGTAACAATTCGAGAATATTTGGTACAAAATTGCATAGCTGATAAAATTTGAAGGAGTCTCAAATCTTTTTCTTTGGAAAAATCAGTCGCCTAAATCGGTCTGGCTCGAAAAACACGTGCGTGATTGAGAAAACATATTTCACGATCGCAGGAAACGAGCCGTGGAGTTTCGCAGCGATGTGTGTGCGCTTGACCTGCCCTCGCTCACCATTTTACCAGCCATTGTTGCCACCATCTGAGACGAAAAATTGCGTTATGCACAAATTAGATGCCCGACGAATATTTCTCACCGATTTCACGGCAACCCGACGCGACGTACGTTTTCGTCTTCGTTCCCATTTGAATCGGGACAAGAAAAACCAGGAATCCGCGTCGGGCTGCCCGTCTTTCACCTCGGGAGAGACATAACTTTTTTTTGGTTAAGTACGACGAACGACAGACTCGTCCGCTCCTCGAAGCAATTTCGCAAACACTCACGTGTTTTTTTTCAATCAGAGGATAGAGCGATTGATGAAACAACGCGATATGCGGCTACAAACATTATTGGGTCGAGGAAAATGCGAGCGAATGCGAAAAACTACGACGATCGACAACGACGATCGTTGTCGACCGAGGACGGGAATTGTCATCGATGGTCGTAGAATTGCAATTTCTCGACAAATTTCCGCAATCCGAAACAGCTCCGCGTCGCCGAACCGATTTGCGGCCCGAAAAAGCGTCGCTTACCTTAATGTGACAGGAATACAGAAGCTCGCTCGCAGTTCGGATGTAAACACAGGCATTTTTCCGCGGAAATGACACTGAGGCAGCCAAAACGACGTACGTCCGAACACCGTTTACATCGCGGTCGACGCCGATGCGTCGCGCAGAACGGTCCTGCGTTATTAAATACCGCGGTAAACACGGGAATTCGGTCTCTCCACGGAAAACATCAATCGAAAACTAGAGATGGCAGCCATTACTTTTGTACAAAACAAAGGTCCACATCCACGGACTCGCTAGCGAGCGAGCCTCAAACCCAGCGTCTTTCCGGCGCTCACGATGCGGCGCTTAATTCAAATCGGTCGAGTCGATTTCCGCATCGACACCATCCGTCGTCGTTTTCTCGTCTGCAATTACGTTCGCCGAAACTTTTACGGCGCGAAATCAAACGTGAGGCACTCTGTACGACGAAACGATCGAGATAATTAATTAGCGCGTGCAAATTCGCCGAACGACAGACGCCTGACTGGGCCGAAGTTAACCGTGGTTGCGGGAAGATGTCGCGCCGCTCGCGCGCGGCGCCATCTGTCGGCGAGCGCGGCAAGCACGAACGCCGTGCGCTGCCAACGTCAGAGAGCTAAACTGCGTCGCGCTACGCCGAACCTGACCGAGCTGAGCCGAGCCCAACCGAGCTACTCCGAGCGGATGGCTTCGGCCGGATTCGGCGTGTAAACCGAAGGGCCACGATCGGCGAGACTCGAATTTTCCGTCGACCTCCCGAAAGTGGCCGAAAGTCGCGCGAATCCTCCGCCATCGTCCACCACTGTCGCGGCCGCTTACATGAAACGTCACGATTACTGTGACGGGACTGCAGTGGCTGGGAAGGACGTGCGTACATATGTTTATGAACGTTCTAATGTTGGTACTATCTGTCGCTACGCGCGAGAGAATACGAAGCGGTGATCATCGCCGGTCACTGTCGTTTATTGATTTCCTGGCTTCATAGAGATATATATTTCTCGCATAATACCACGAGACACGATGTGCCGGCGTAATTGAGCAGGTACTTGTCGATCGAGAACTCTCGTTTTGATGAATTCCGCAGAAAATTCTTTGTGCGAGGAAAGGAAGAAAGGAAAGACAGGATTGTTACGCGAAAGCTGCTTGGAGTAAAAGAATGAAACGCCATTAGAAAAAAAAGAGAACGAAAAAATGAGAAAATGATTCGTCAGAAGAGCTCGAATATAAACTTACGAACGAATATGTTTCGAATGATTATACGCTTTCACGATTTTTGTGCGGATGTGACGTACTTCGTGGAATTGAAATAATTGAATTACATCGCGCGGATCGACGGTTTGTTATGCAAATTGTTCGACAGAAAAACATGACTGTACCTACATGTTTGTTCGCTCAAATACGCATATTGATCTATTTTTAGTCTGTTTTTTATAGCTGAACTAATACTCCTTATACATGTTTCAAATAAAATAAGTATATGCCCGCAAGATACATTAACAATAACAATTATCAATAATGTTTAATTTATACTTAATATAAAATTAAAATATAACAATTATATTCAAATTTAAAACTTTTATTATATTCCAAAATTGGAATTTTCAGTTGATGGCAACAAATATATTTTTACTGTGAAGTAATAAAATTTTTTACATTGTAAATTGCCTCTCTAACAGTACTCCTACTCTCATTAGCCTTGATTTTCTTTGTTGCATCAACAATATAACTTGTGTACTTATAAGTATAAGTATAACACATGTTATATTGTTGATGTAATGTTACTGTTTTGTGTTCTACAAGTATTCAAGATTTAGCAAAAGCAAGTTCTATTCCGGTAATAAAGAATAAACTTCTTAGAAACCTATTTTATTGTTTCTTTTGGTTGTAATAAATGTTCTATTGATATGTTGTAGATGAACGCCTATGTACTTTTTTATATTTAGAAATGGCTGACGCAGATCCACAATTTAAACGCCTTTTACTGCCAGCGGAGGAAACTCTTTTTGAACAGTTGCTGAGATTCGGCCTTTACGTAGGTGCAGTATTTCAAATCATGTGCTTGTTAGCTATAGTCCTGTATCAGGCTGGTCCATCCGATGGTGTAGCAGCTTTAAAGGTATCTTCTGATTGTTGCAGACTGTTAAAATAATGATTTCCTCGCAACAATAATTCTTGTAATTGTAGGATGACCCAAGTGATGTTGAATGTTCCGAAAACAGTCCTCAGGTGACGCCAAGAAGACCTCATCGGCCGCGAAAGCAGGAGAAAAAAAAGAGGCGTTGAAATGTTCACATTTCCTGCAACATCACTTTGATACTACTCTCATGCTCTTACATCAAATGTTTTCCATTTGGTAACACAAGTTTTATCTCTGTTACTTATGGAATGTAAAAAGAATATAGAACGACGTTTGTGTCGACTATTGTCATTAAATTGAAAACCATTAATTATCCTGGTGAAAAAATTTCGCTGAAATTATTCTATGTTTTGGAATATTTCAGCGAAATTGCTGAAAATTTGCTGAAATTTCACTGAAAGTGAATTTTTCAGCTAACATACTAAAAAAATCGTGGAAACTGAAATTTCTTTGAAATTTCTCTAAAATTTTGTTGAAAATGAATTTTTTAGCTAAAAATCGCTGAAATTAAACTGAAATTTTTCTGAAATGCTGAAATTTCGTCGAAAAGTATTCCAACATGGAATAATTTCAGCAAAATTTTTCCATCAGGAATGGTTATTTTCATAATACAAGATTACTTGAAAGTTGGATTTTTAGAATAAGTCTTCAATTCGTTTTCATCTAAGTTATTACTAAACAGTCATTTTATAATATAATGCCAATCTGTAAAATATAATTTCGTCCTTTTTAAGCATGGAGATATTATATCTACTTCAATCTCACGTACAACCGTTGTAAACCGTATTTCTACATAATATTTTATAAAAGAAAGAATAATTATTAGCTTTCATATAATTTGCGAGATTTTTGGAATACAAATAGTCTTCCACAAGCGTGTTATATATTCTACTTTTTAAGTATGAAACTTCTCTCAACCTCGTGTATGTACATCAATTGTAAAAGCGTTATTTCTACTTAATATTTCATAAAAGAAGAATACAGCTTTCTTATATAAAATTTTTATATAAGTATATTCTTTCTAATATAAATTATATATAAAATTCGCAAAGATGATTTTTGGAACAAAAATATACTTTCAAAAAGAAAGGTATCTGAAGACTTGAAGAGTTTCTCTCAGAAAAGAAGAATTTTAAGACCACACTGTATTACATAACCTATAAATAATAGCAACATAACCTTTTATTTTTCATATACCATAACCTCTTAATCAAGAAAAGCCACGGTTCATTGATGCGATGAATTTACGTTGATTTGACTGGAAATGTGGACATAATTGGACGATGCTTTGTACTTGAAGTATTATTACTAATAATTCGTCAAAAATGCTGCATAATACGACGACTTTGTCGCCTCAGGACATTTTAACTGAGGTTAGAAAATTCATCTCCGGTGCCATCCGGCCTACTCATGGTACAAACACACAAGATGTGACCCGTACGGCATTATCTTTGTTGAAAAATGTACCCGCAGCGAGGGAAGCTGTACTTGAATATTTTTGTAATGTATTTTTCGTTGCCGTGACAAAATATGTTCGTCAGATCGAAGTACGTAATTGCATTGTATTCTTAGCTCATTCGCCCTTTTACATAGCATTTCAATATAATTAAAATAATATCGGTAATTCACACACTTAATCTTTATAGTCAAATCAGAATATATCGATACCCGAAGAGAGCATTATAGCAGAAATTCATGCTATTCTGAGCAGTTTCGTCAATGGAAATCCAGAAGCATGGGCGCCTATCATATCAGCATGGTCGTTGGACTTATTAGGTATGTGTATATTCACATATATATATAATTTAATTTATATTTAATTTATATATATATAATTAAATACTAAATATGTATGACTATATATTAT